AACAACATAATAGCCTAATACCGGGAGTTATGGTTTGGCGCGTGAATTCGTATCATCAATTTGCCACGAATTGAGGTTAACCTCAAGAGTAAAAGGTACGACCGTAAAGTATTACAGCCCGAAGTCTTTCCCTATCTTCCAGGGCCCCCTGGAGCAAACTTTAAGCAGGATAATGCAAGCCCACATGTTGCAAAGTTTTTTGAGACTTCTGTTCAGACCAACATATGCAACTTCTTCCTTGGCCAGCTTATTAGACGGATATGTTGCTAATTGAGTACGTGTGAGATTTGGTTTATCGGCGTTTCGTTCGGGATCCACGTAATGCAGCATTTCTCAAGCTGTGGGGCGCTCCACGCTAGAGGGACATGATAATTCTGCGACGAGGGCGCGAGCATATTGGAAAGTAGTAAACAAAAGAATATTTTTTTAAAAAATATTAATTTGCTGAATGTAAACAAAAAATAAACATTTTGACATAAAAAATAAAATACACATTTACACTGATGTAATAAACTTATAAATGTATCAGTACTGCACAATGTATTTTATAATTAATTTAACAATATTTTAAAAAGCATATTTAACAATTACCAGTGACCCCCATGAGCTTGTCATTTATAAAATTATGCACAAAAATTAACACTTATTTTGATAAATTTGTACAGTTCATATAAAAATCCTTTAACTGTCAATAAAAAGTTACTCGATTCGCTCCCCAGTGTCACTGTTTACCACTTAGGCACACGACGTATGTTATGAAAAGAGGGAGAAGGGAGAGAAAAGAAATAAATAAACAAATCCTCTGAAATAAGTAAATTCTTCGCAAATAGTATCAAGGTCCTTTTACAGCACTCCAAAGCCTACGGAGTAATTTTATGGATAGCAATGCAGAGAAAATGTCGTACTTCCGAAAAACGAATATATACGTCCGGGGCAATCAACGTTTTTGGTGAGCGAGACGTATATATACGTCGGTGGCACTTAATAGGTTAAAGTCGTATATATTGTACCGTTAGGGTGAAAGTTTAGTATTATTGAATTCAATGCATTCTTATTGTAAGAAAGGGGGGCCCGATGAAAATTATGATTGAATATTGGGTCGCAGATATTGAAAGTTTGAGAAGCGCTGGCGTAATGCAGCTTTAAAAGAAGAACTTTTGCTGCGCAAACAAGCAATATGGAATTATTTTCCACAAGTAGGCATTCAAAATATGTTTGACCCCATGTCACATCGTATGGCGGCACGTGTTGCAGGGAGTGGTGGTTATAACAAATACTGGTTTCAGACACTTAATATTGGTTTTTTCTTTGAACAATTCACCATTTATTTGTACTAATACAAGTCGTTTCTGCATTAAATTTCATTTAATTCTCATGATTTATTTATGGTGTTGCATTTCTTACAAACTGCAGCTTAGAAATAGGATGTTCTCTTGGATTAATATATTTAAGTAATTCCACTGACTAATAGAAGGGAAAAAAGAACATTTTGCATTAACTGAAACTCTAAATATAAAATAAAGGGTATAGATGCGACAAACTAAAAGTCAAAGCAACAAAATTTCACAACTTATTATTTTCTCATTAAATCTCAAGAGAGAGAGAGAGAGAGAGAGAATCTCTATTACAGCAATTTTACAAGGTGGTCCCCATATAAAATGTAAATCTAAGGAAATGTTCATTTTTCTAAAATAAAATTTCAACTGTTTACATTCCGTTTAATTACTTCGATATCGGGTATAAAGAACAAAAAAAGTGGCAAAATGTTTTAAATTCATTTTATTCATGAGTTTAATGTATTGTAAAAGACTTCATCACAAAGGTAAATTTAAATTTTAAAAATGATGTGTAATTGATGTAACAAATATTTACTTTCGAGTAATATAATAAAGAGCGTTTTGTGTAAATCTCATTGATTAAATTTTAAAATCAAATATTTTTGTTAATGTGTAAAGTCTATTCAAAATGTATATCTTGCGGAAAGAAAAAAAACTCTGCTGTTCAGGAGCAGGATTCGAACCTGCAAACACAACAGTGAATCAGATAACAACCACCTTTGCATAAATGCGGCCACTCACTGATGCGTATGAGTTTCATTTACACAGTATTGCAGTAATGGAAGTTCCAAGGATTGCTATCTTGTGATGGCCTATGCAATTGCCGTCGTTATACGGTCTATTCTCTTCTGAAAATCGTTCTTCTTTCTCTTATATTTGATATTCACCGGTTTAGATGCTTTAAGCTCAATGTAGGAAAGCCCCAATATTTTTCTCTTATATTTGATATTCACCGGTTTAGATGCTTTAAGCTCAATGTAGGAAAGCCCCAATATTTTTCTCTTATATTTGATATTCACCGGTTTAGATGCTTTAAGCTCAATGTAGGAAACCCCCAATAACGCAATAACTGAAATTGAGGAGCAGCCGCATTCTGCAAACGATGCAGATGTCTGATGCCATAACCATTCGGCCATCCTGAACGCATCAACTTTTCCTTCGTCTTTGCTTTCTAATTGTTTTGTTGGAGATAATTAAACAATGCTCAAGTAATAGTTATGAAATTCAAAGGCGTAAATTATTAACAAGTAATGCATTTTATTTCTATAGTAAGGAAGAAATATATTATATATAAACTTGTTTGTGTGGGGGTAGAGGCTATAATGCTGCAATCTTTTAATGGCTTCTGCGATTACCGATTGTATTCGGTCTACTTTCGTCTGTGATAAATCACATTTTAAAGACATTTTATTTATTTGTCTTGCCATTAATTCTTTTTACGTGTGGTTCGATACCCGAGCCCGTAACCACTAGACTGATTTCAATGCATTGAACTTTCCTTCTCCATATTTTCTTCTCTCTCCAGTTATTGGTATTCTTATCGATATATGGGAATACATTATGGTTAATACCATTTAAATAATATTACATTATTATTTAAATGGTATTAACCCTTTCACGGTTAGGGAAATGTGCAGTTTTCGTTTAGTTAATTCGCGTTAGTTAGTTATACGAGTTAATTTAGTTATACGAGTAAGCAGTAGTCGAAAGTGGCAGCTGTTTTCCCCCGCCGTTCTTCCGAAAATGTCACCCTTCTACGGCGATGCCGTAGATAGCTCGCCTCATGCATCTTAAAGGTTTCTTAAAGTATTTGTAGTACACAAATAACAGTTTTTACGTACTTTAAAATAATGAATAAATGATAATTATTAAATAGTAACCACATCACCAGTAACACTAAATAGGCTAGGAGCGGGGGAACTTGAATCAATTTTACACCACTGTCGAACACTCGAAAAATTTTCCTCAGCGCTTGTATCGTCTTCTGAGCTTGATATGCTGTGAACAAAATCTTCATCAGACTCAAAACTTGATAATCTTTCTGTATCGAAATCAAAATCATCATAATAATAATCTAATTTTCGCTTTTGAGCCATTTTACTTTACAAACAGTCTAAAAAACGCGCCAAAATACGCATAAAAAGAATAACGTAAAAAAAAAAGAACCTTCATTATGAAGAAAAATTCATGAAACCCGTACTGCCATTTGTAGACAGTAAAACTAACTAAATTTCGCGAGTAGCATTCATTTGTAACCTAATCAATGCAGAATAATGACCTTGAACGAGTCCATCTCGTCAGTGCCCTTTGGGGAAAGGTTTAACTACGCGAGTAGAACTCGTTTATACCCATTTCGGTCGAAATCTTGCGCCCGAGCTGAATTCGTTTGCGCGCATTCAGAAGCACTACTCGATTGCGAGCTGAGCTCGTTCATGACCATCAAAGGGTTCAAAGAAAAACCAAAGTATTTTTCTGTATGCTCAGATTTCCAAATATCGACAGTTTGGCCTTTTTACAAAATTAATGAAATGAATTAAAGTAATCACAACTTAATTGTTTAGTTTTTAGTATTTTTATTTTTATAGGGAAAAATTTAATCGAAAAAGACTTCTTCAAATAAGGCAAATGTGATTACTTAAACAGTTCTGATAGCAAAACGTTGAATTTAGCGGAGTGGGTCATTGTAAAATTTTTATTGAAATTCATTTTAAAATGTTTGCTTGAAATTTCTACGAATAATTTAGGTAGAATTTAATTATTTATAATAAAAGGACGACTGAAAAAAGTTTAAATTTAAATATTAAATGGATTCATTATAATCTAAATTTGTTAAAGTAATACCGATAGTAATATAAGCAATTAAGAAATATTACAGTTTGTGGCCAAAATTGTGAATACTTTTCCCGAAATTGTTCCGTTTTTTTGTTTGTATGCTTAAAGATTTTTTTACTTTGCACAAAATGAACAGTATTTTAAATCATTTTAAAGAGGACTTACTACTGAATTCGATAAAAAAATCAAATATTTGCAACGTAAAATAAGTTAATCAGCAGAAACTGTTGATATACAGAATATACTGATGATAGCAGTGGTTTATCTGAGCTTGGTGAGGTTGCCTTTATTCTTCATTTCAGCTTCAATTCGTGGTTTCATTGATCTAAAATAGTTTTAAGTTCTTTCTTCATTATTGCATAATCCCAGGAAACAATTATATCCTCAATTATTTCCTTTTTTATGAGTTTTCAAACGGTATCATAAGTTTTCGATAGGAACGAGGTTGTTATGTAATTTTAACCACATGTAATATAATTTTAACATAGAAAACACCACTATATTCATCACACATGTATTCAATCTACTCATTTATTTGATGTCAATACTTTTTGACTAAATATCATTGTTATTCTGGCCTATGAATTCATTTATTCATTCATTTAAATTCATTTTATTCATGAGTTTAATGTATTGTAAAAGACTTCATCACAAAGGTAAATTTAAATTTTAAAAATGATGTGTAATTGATGTAACAAATATTTACTTTCGAGTAATATAATAAAGAGCATTTTGTGTAAATCTCATTGATTAAATTTTAAAATCAAATACTTTTGATAATGTGTAGTCTATTCAAAATGTATATCTTGCGGTAAGAAAAAAAACTCTGCTGTTCAGGAGCAGGATTCGAACCTGCAAACACAACAGTGAATCAGATAACCACCACCTTTGCACAAATGCGACCACTCACTGATGCGTATGAGTTTCATTTACACAGTATTGCAGTAATGGAAGTTCCAAAGATTGCCATCTTGTGGTGGCTTATGCAATTGCAGTTTTTATACGGTCTATTCTCTTCTGAAAATCGTTCTTTTTCTCTTATATTTGATCTTCACCTGTTTAGATGCTTTAAGCTCAATGTAGGAAACCCCCAATAACGCAATAACTGAAATTGAGGAGCAGCCGCATTCTGCAAACGATGCAGAAGTCTGATGCCATAACCGCTCGGCTATCCTGAACGCAACATTTTTTCCTTCGTCTTTGCTTTCTAATTGTTTTGTTGGAGATAATTCAAACAATGCTCAAGTAATAGTTTTGAAATTCGAAGGCGTAAATTATTAACAAGTAATGCATTTTATTTCTATAGTGAAGAAAAAATATATTATATATAAACTAGTTTGTATGGAGTAGAGGCTATAATGCTTGCAATCTTTTAAGGGGTGTTGGAAAGCTAAAATCTTATTTTTTTGACAATTTGAGATTTTTACATTTTCAAATTGTATAGATTTTAACCTTTTTAAAAATACCTTACTTTAACCTCTAGGGTATTTAGGGGCCCTTAAAACGTTGAATTCGAGCCACGCCCATTTTAATGGTGAAAATTGTAAACAAATTAATTTGTTTTTGCTTAAAAGTGTAACTACTGATATAAACCAAAACATGGATCGTTTATTTTAAATTGAGCCTTTTATTTTTTATTTCCTAGCCAATTAGAAGTCTCACTGTATATATTAAAATCAATTTATCTCAAAATGTAAATTTTAATGTGCGATGTACCTTTTCTGAGAAACTACTGTTCACAGGTATGTAAATTTTTTATGAATTATTTATAATGATGTCTAATATATACTAAAATGAGCTTTTTGTAAAAAACTCAAAAATTTAATTTTTACAAATTTTTTAAGTAAAAAATGGGTCAAATTTCGCAGTGTTTGATAAAATATTTCATAATTTATTAAAAAATTCAAAATTAGCTAAAAGCTCATTTTAGTATAATGAGAGAGGTGTACTTTAATAGAATGAAAAATTTTAAGCATGTATAGAAAACAGATTTTGAGAAAAGGTACATCGAAAACAGCCAATTTAACATTGTCAGTATATATAGAGAGAGGTTTCTGAATCTTCTTAATGGCTTCTGCGATTACCGATTGCATTCGGTCTACTTTCGTATGTTATGAATCACATTTTAGAGACATTTTATTTATTTGTCTTGCCATTAATTCTTTTTACGTGTGGTTCGATACCTCAAAAATTCAAGTAGCAAATCACTAATACCCCACGACCTGAAACAGAGAAATAGCCGCATTTTGCAAATCATGCAAACCACTTGACTCTTGACAAACAACTTGACTGATTTTAATGTAATGAACTTTCCTTCTTCATGTTTTCTTCTGCTTCCTGTTATTGATATTCTTAGAGATATATGGAAATACATTATGTGTTTAATTGGAATTAAAAGAAAAACCAAAGTATTTTTCTGTATGCTAAGATTTCCAAACATCGACAGTTTGGCCTTTTTACAAAATTAATGAAATGAATTAAGATAATCACATTTTAATTGTTTGGTTTTTATTATTTTTATTTGTATAGGGAAAAATTTACTCTAACAAGACTTCTTCAAATAAGGCAAATGTGATTACTTAAACAGTTCTGATAGAAAAACATTGAATTTAGCGGAGTGGCTCATTGAAAATTTTTATTGAAATTCGTTTTCAAACGTTTGCTTGAAATTTCTACGAATAATTTAGGTAGAATTTAATTATTTATAATAAAAGGACGACTGAAAAAAGTTTAAATTTAAATATTAAATGGATGTATTATAATCCAAATTTGTTGAAGTAATACCGATAGTAATGTATGAAACTAAACAAATATTACAGTTGTTGGCAAAAATTGCGAATACTTTTCCCGAAATTGTTCCATTTTTTAAGTTTGTATGCTTAAAGAATTTTTACGTTGCACAAAATGAACACTACTTTAAATCATTTTAAAGAGAACTAACTACTGTGAATTCGATAAAAAAAATCAAATATTTGTAACGTAAAATAATTTAAGCAGCAATAACTGTTGATATACAGTATATACTGATGACAGAGCAGTGATTAACTGAGCTTGGTGAGGTTGCCTTTATTCTTTATCACAGCTTCAATTCGTGGTTTCACCGAGCTAAAAATAGTTTTAAGTTCTTCCTTTATTATTCCTTATGATGCCAGAAAACAATTATATCCTCAATTAGTTCCTTTTTTTATGGTTACCTCATTCGTACAAGAGTTTTCAAACGGTATCACAAGTATTCGATACGAACGAGGTTGTTATGTAATTTTAACCACCTGTAATGTAGTTTTAACATAGAAAACACCACTATATTCATCACACATGTATTCAATCTACTCATTTATTTGATGCCAATATTATATCATTGTTATTCTGGCCTATGAAACAGTCTTGACCTTAATCCTATTGAAAACTTGTGGCACCGTTTGAAACCCCTTGTCCGAATGAGTCACCCGTGAAATAAAAAGAAACTGAGGAGAAAATTTTTCCTGGCATCATGTAAAAACGAAGGAAGAGTTTAAAACTATTTTCAGCTCAATTTAATATTGATGTAAAGCTGTAATAAAGAATAAAGACAACCTCACCAAGCTCAGGTAACTCACTACTCTCATCAGTATGTAAGGTATATCGACATTTATCACATCATAACCTTTTTTTTTGCATAGCAAATATTTAAACTTTCTTTTTTGTATTGCATTTAGTATTAAATTTTCTTAAAAATTATATGAATTAATTTGCATTTTGTGCAATATAAAATTTTCTAGAAGCAAACAAACTTTAAATACATTACAAATTGAAAAATTATCCGCAATTTCTTCCACCACTGTATTGACGCCCCATCTAATATGATGGTTACTACACTCTGCTTGTAATCGAGAGGACTCAGGTTCGAGTCCCAACCAAGGCTTGGATGTGTCTATGTAGAAAAAACGGACTCTTCCCTCGAAAGGGATTACAGTCTCAAATGAACAGCAGCGCGTTCCTTCTCTTCTATGCTGGGATCATCATTTTTAAGGAAGGTCTATATTCTTCTGTGTTTGTATTTTTCGTATGTATCCCAGTATGAAACACACGAAACAACAACTCCAGTTTTTGTGATGTTACTTACTTGCCTTAAGTTTAATCCCGATACTCCTGGGAAGCCATGCAGATATATATATATATATATATATATATATATATGGTAATTTAAAATAAAATAACCTAGCATTTATTCATGTAGGATAAAATCAAAAGAGATAAATTAGAACCTTCAATTGAAAAGCATGTGTGTTTGACTTTAAATTAAAAACAATTTTAATTCTTTTCGAAAAATATTGAATTTTCTATCTCATATGGAAAAAGGAGTCAAGGAGGAAGAATTTTGGATGAATTTGTGAGTTTTATTATTAAAGGACTAAAACAGTGTTTCTCAAACTGTGGGGCGTGGCCTCCTGGGGGGGGGCGATAACCTTACGAAGGGGGCGCGAGCATATCGAAAGTAAAAGATTTAAAATAATTAATTTAATGGAGTAAATTAAAACAAAATACTTTCAGACATAATAAGAAATTCACTTTTACTCTGAAATTATTTATAGGCGAGCGTCAATCATCAAAAATAAAAACTGCTTCAATACCTTATTAGCTATCTTTGATTCTATAACTAAATAAAAAAAAACTTTATTTGATTTGTTGTAATTCTATGATGAGAGATTTTTTTTTCTACGCCTTATTTTTAAACTTAACATACTACTCTTTCCGAGAAAAAACAGATCCCATACTCAGAATCGAAAAAATTAAAGAACATAAAAAATTCATCACTGCCATTATATTTGAAATACTGCGCATTATAGCTGTAATCTGTTTTACCCTCTAAGTTATTGGTACAGTTAGTTATGACCCCTCACTTAAGTGGGTGTTTCTCATTTAGGGAAGTTGTAAGTAATGTATTTCTCTGTTGCACTTTTTTCCATGCAAAAAAGTTTTATGATATTTGGAAAACCACGGAGAGAGCACACACACTTTGAAGGATTACTTGACCAAGACTTATTTTTATGAGTATTCTCAAACATATAAAGCATAACGAAAAACTTTTTACACAATTTTTTATCAGTAACATAAATATTATCAAAATGAATACACTTTTTACCCGGAAATGGTCGCGCGGGACACACAGATTACGAAATCGTTAATTCTGCCAAAACTGTTTATTTGTTACCAAAGAAATATAGAAAAGTCCTTGAAAGTAGGTCAGTAAAATTTCTCTTAATAAATTATTCACTGGAATCACGATTTGTATTGTGTACAATAAAATAATTATTAAAAAAAAATTGGGGTGAATCAATAACCCAACTCGATCGTATCCAGTGCGCGCCTGCTCCCGGGTTAAAACATGTGGAATTCTTTTCGCCTTAAATATTAAAAATAATACAATTACTCTTCATAGGAATTTTATATTATTGTTCATTATTCAACATCAATTATAAATGCCAATTCTGTGAGGCTTAAAATTACAATTCGCTTAAAACTAATTATAATTTGAGCAACCATTTTAAAACAATCATTCTAAAATTTTGTAAACATTTTCGAGCACTTGGCTTCGAGCACAATTCAGCTATTATATCAATAATGTTTAATTTTCTTATAAATGAACTCGTGCAAAGAGCGGGCACTTCAGCCGGTATACTTTTAATGTATCAGTGCTGCACAAAGTATTTTATAACTAATTAATTAATACTAAATTAAGAACAAGTTTAATAAGTATTAACGATTTACATGGTCTTGTCTTGCAAAGCAAAGTTTTTATAGGAATGCTTATGATTAGAAATTGACCCTCTAAATTCTTTTTCTATATTTAGCACATATCTATGTTTTGTCTTCTAAGCAACCACCGCATTTGGCAATATGTCCAATTTAAAAATTAGAGGAAGGAAAAATAACATAGTAATTATCCTATTATTTTATTTATTTATTTTTTTTTTTTTTGCTTACAAGTAGTATACAAAATTTAATACTTATGTTACTAATTTGTATGGTTTATAATTAAGATCGACTATTGTAGATTTAGCGTCAAAGTGCATTATTATTGCATTCAGTACATTATTAATGTAAAAGGAGGGCGCGATAAAAATTGTGATCGGAAAGGGGGGCGCCAGTCTTGAAAGTTTGAGAAGCACTGGACTAAGAGAATGCACACAATACAGTT